ACTTCCTCTATCTTTTTTCGGGACCAGTATACTAGGGTAGATGTGAGGAGACGGGCGTCGCATTTCCTCGACTTTGTACTATTTTGTTGAATTGGAAATCGTGCAACAGGGCTACGAGAAGGAATCGTTCAAGCAGACCCTCCTGTAAATCAGTAACTTCTAGTGTTCGTTAGTGAGTGCAAAGATTCCCAAGAGGATAACATGCTAAGTTTGAAAACAGTTAGAAAATAAGCACGAAAACAAACTGAGGGAAAACTATCCAAAAACTAGTCGGTATCTCGAACAGAGGTTGAAGTAAGGAGCAATGTAGAACCCCAAATTATTCTACAGCTGCCTTCGAAGAAGTATCTACAGCAGGGACCTATTTTTGTTCATGAAGCCTGTGAAGAGTATGGCAAGTTTTGTCAACAATGATGTGAATGAATATGCTACACAGTTTTTTCCAAGCCTCATTTCTACGACGTTAGAGGACCTGCCGACTCCATAAATACAATCTTATTTTTGGACTCTAACCACGAAGGATACCTTCTCATGAAATATATTATCCGAAGAGAATCCGATAAATGAGAGGATGCTTATATGTATGCACTTATAGTTCCACTCTTCCTTCCATCTTAAATCAAACGAATATTACGTTCGTCAACAAATGCTTCTATATGGCACCTACTGCACCGGGTACATCATAAAACCATATAGCCGGCAACCAGTTGACAATCTACAACTGTCATCAGTCTACCCTTATTGACACTCGTTAATGAACGTTCACCGATCACTAACGGAACTTGCTCGCCCCGTTCTGCCTTAAGGATCATTCTCGGGCCCCGCCAGCAGTCATATAGCGGCTAGTAGTCTAGGCATATAGTATTACCGACAAAAACAATGGAGACTGAAATGGTCATTTCTGGCTTATTAGCCGTCGTCAGCCAGTCACATTGCACCCCAAGTGGTGCATCATCCGAGGCTCGAATTCGCGACCTTATGATTAGAAGTCTACTGCTCTAACCATTGAGCCACGAGCTCGTTGCTGGCAATGCTATCTGCCTAGAATACTAGCTGGCTGGCTGAAGACGGCTAGTGAGCTGGAAATGCCCATACCAATCTCCATTGTTTTTTGCCGGCAATACTATATGTCTAGACTACTAGCCGCTATACGGCTGCTGACGGGGCTCGAGAATGAGCCTCAAGGCAGAACGGAGCGAGTAAGTTCCGTTAGCGATCGGTGAACGTTCATCAATGCGTGTCAAAATCTCCCGATCTAAACCGACACGACAACGAACTCGTGGATCAGTGTTTAGAGCGTTAAACTTCAGATCAAAGGGTCACGAGTTCGAGCCTCGAATAGTGCACCACTTGGGATTAGATATGACGATGGCCAAGGAGCCAGAAATA